GAAACACGTGTTGTGGATTCGACATGAAATTGTGCTCGTCTCTCTTGAATCATACCACTATTCTGAATGACGATTACAGTAAAAGAAAGAATCAAATGCGCGCTGGGGTCCACACATCGCGTAAAGACGAGCCATTTAAATACATAAATAGTTAACTTGTTAGTGACGAGCGAGTTCTAGTGCAATGACTTCTAGAAGATTTTGAAACAAAACCACAAATTGATCAAAAAGTCCTCTTCAGCTACCTACCCACTTGAGAACTTCATCTTCATGAATTGATTCAGATATTAGAATCAGAAGCGGTAGTGCATACATTTTCTACAATGTATGACACCTTACTGGCTAAAGTTTCGAAAGTTTGCTCTTCTTCGGAGCTTGGGAATGCCAAATTCGCTATCAAATTCTTTAGACAACCGCTTTTGAAGGCTCGCCTCCTAGGACACTGAATGCCGAGGGACAACAATGAATGAACGTGATATATGTAGTATTCCGCTGTTGCTCCTAAGTTCTACACGGGATTAGACCATCGCCTCTTTCACGCAACGTTCCGTTTTTCGAGGGAAGGAGAATAAGCCGCTATATTCAAAAAACAAGGTCTCGGAACTACCAGAAACTGGGATGTATTCAAATCATTAGTCGATTCTTGGGAAGATACCGTTGTCGACAACATCGACGAAGAATACGAGCGACTCGTTGATTATCTTCACGTTAGCGCCATAAAAGCCGAGAGTCTTGAGGTCACGAAGAGACGCTTGTCTCCGCAGACACTCCAGCTGATACGTCAACGTGGAATCACACGAGCTACAGGAAACCGAAATCTTACGTCCGAACTTGCGAAACGCTGCAGAGAAGCGATAAAAGAAGACCTCAAAGAGAGAAGAGCAGCAGTTATGGCAGAAGTTGCAGAAGCTGAGAAGAGCATTCGCAAAGCCCAGCGAGGCTTCGCCAACTATAAGACCATGATGATTGCACTCCGATACACTGACGGGACACTTACAGCTTTACAGCTTCGAGAAGGGCTATGGAGAAAATCATCCACCAATACTACTCGAATCTCTTCGCTAGCCATGTCCTCTTACCGTCATATAAATTGAAAGAGGACGAATATGTCGTCCAACCCGTCCTTCCTTCCGAAATCCGACATACTATATCGTCGATGAAAAACAGAACAACACCCGGTCCACACAGGTAACCAGAACATCTGAAGAATCTGCCGCCAGTTCTCATCAACACCCTGGCTCGGCTCTTCACTCGCTACCTGTCAGAATGCAAGGCCCCTATTCAATGGAAAACCAGCAAGACCGTATTGTTGTTCAAAAAGGGAGACCTTCACGACATAGGCAATTATGTCCAATCTGCTTGCTGTCCGTTGTCTATAAACTCTTTACTCGAGTCATCCTAAACAGGATTGACAGAACACTGGACGAAGGACAGCCATGCGAACAAGCAGGGTTCCGAAAAGGATTTAGTACCATGGACCGCATCCACACGATTATAAGATTCATTGAAGTTTCACGAGAGTACAAACAACCACTTTGTCTCACTTTCATCGATCTGAAGAAAGCCTTTGATTCAGTGGAAACAGAAGCGGTTATAGAGGCTCTGGATGACCATGGCGTCCCTACTCGGTACATAATGATCGTTCGTGAGCTTCATGAAGATTTCACAACAAAAATATCTCCATTCTACAACAATATCACCATTGACGTAAGAAGAGCGGTTTGACAAGGCGATACAATTTCGCCAAAACTATTCACTGCCACCCTACAAAACGTCATGCGAACATTAGAATGGGACGAAATGGGAGTGAAAATTGACGGTCGACAATTAAACCATCTTCGCTTTGCTGACGATATCGTTCTCATAACACCAAACATCAGCCAAGCAGAACGAATGTCGACCGATTTCGATAACGCCTGTGGAAAGATTGTCTTCAACTGAATCCAAGGAATACAACGTTCATGAGAAACGGTTAAGTTTCTAATGCCCCATTCACGCTCAACGGAAAGGCAATCACCTAATGCTCCAATTACGTCTATCTAGGTCGTGAAATCAACATGATGAACGACTTAGCTCCAAAGTTGAGCAGGAGGAAACAAGTGGCTTGGGGAACGTTCAAGCATATCGAAAATGTAGTGAAGAAGACAAAGAATATCCGACTCCGTGTCCACCTTTTCGACTCGACAATTATCCCTGCCCTGACGTATGCAGCAGAATCCTGATCGCTACGTAAGCAGGATGAAAGATCACTTGCCGTTATGGAACGCGCAGTCGAAAGGTCGATGCTAGGAGTATCCCGTATCTAGCAAATGAGAGAAAGGATCCGAAGTTCTGACCTACGCCAACGATCGAAAATGAGAGACGCCGTTCTACACGCCAGGATATCGAAAATAAGGTGGGCCGGACACGTGATGCGCTTCAGCGACAACCGATGGACGAGAGCCGTTACCGACTGGAACTCGTGCACGCGATAGGAAAAATGGAAGAGTTGCTGGTACCCGCTCGAGTCACTTGACGATCAACAGGACGACAGGTGGTACAAGTGATACAGGTGATTCTCACCGGGCGTCGATTCTCTTATTTGTAGGAGCTCGGTTGAATGGATAGGCAAGTTCTACTGATGAGGCTCGACATCCAAGCCAAAACTTAGTCTAGCACTATGGGTGTCAGATCAGACTTGACAGCCCAAATGTGTCATCAGACTTTTTTGCTTCGAACGGTCTCAAGAAACAGTCGAATGATAAGGTTTAACTGTAGGATGAAACGACGAATAGTGTTCAGATTGGAGTATAATTGATTAATCAAGGCAATAAAACGATTTAAAAAAGACCTGTTCTTCAATCTTATGTAAGTCCCAACTCGTAATGTGTACCACTAATTCGAAGTTAACTAGAGTTATCGGTGAGCTGGTATTTCATGCAGTAAGTGAGTTCACTTTTGTTCCACTCATTCGTTGTTCCCTGATCTTTAGTCGCTGTGATAACTTTTGGGTACAGTATATGATGAAAAATACCAAATCTTGAAAATTTATATAACAGCATCTTTTACTGAACTTATGAGAACTGAATGCATGCCAAAAACAGTTGAAGGCGTAGTAAACTAGAGCTTTTCTCTTCACACATTAGAGCTATATATAATGATTCAAAACAATATGGCCTTGTGAAGTGAATCGTAATACAATGAATGCAAACGGTAGACGCTAACTTTTTTCTAAATAAGAGAAAAAAAAACCCAAATAACTAAAATTTCGCGCCGTTTGGAACTTATGCGCTGGTTCAGCGAATTCTGTGGCCGTCCTGAATGGGTCAGACATGTAGGAACGGCAGTTAAAATCGCTTCTCGTACGGAGATCGCGAGCCGCAAAAACGGCGCGCAATATTAGTTAATTACATTTATCCTTTTTTCGTCCTGAAGAAATCCTATGTTTCCTGTAATACTTTGGTAACAAAAGTTGCTCGACGTGATCAAACTTTTTTCCAGTTTTTATAATTGTTAAGTGTGCAAAATGGGATTTAGAAAATGAATAGCTTGCCATAATTCATAACGCGCAGTAAACGTGATTTATATTCGATAACTCTCAACATTTTTCGATTATTAGTGGACATCTAAAAGACCTCTATGGAATCACAAAACATATTGTTCAATCGTTTTATGAATATCAGCTTTTTATCGGACTTTGCATTACAATAAATCCACTGTGATTTTCAAATAACAAGGTATTTACATCAAGTGCGAAACGAAGTCTTCATTTTCCTCTTACAGCACTCTGTGTGGACTTGCTTAAGGACAACTTATAACTTCAAAATTGTTGAGATTTGAGCTAGCGATTGAGTACTATAGATCTAACAAAAAACCATCTACAGACCCAATCCGAGCTAAAAAATCAGGCTAAGTGTGAAACATTATATGATTTTCGCAGAAATAATGTAATAAGAAAGCCTTTTGAGAAATTATAGACATTGTTATGACGGCTGGCTTTGAAGCTCTGAGACAAGTACTAAAGATTTCAGGGAAACACCTTTGTCCAGCAAGAAAGACCTTCAGAAAATAGTGTATTGGAGTGAATACACGCCGTTTTGAACGAGTTAAAGTTTTCTTAAGTGATAAATTACAGCTACTATGTATGATAGTATAAATGTAGCAATAAGGAAAGTGATTGATTTTAAAAATACAACCAACAACAAAATTAACAACCACCCATGAACATCAACGAAAACTATCAATAAAAATCAATCGTAACAACCGAAATTAGGTGATACAAGGGATCAAAAACGACAGCGATTTCCATAGAGATGAGAGAAGAAGAGAAGGCAATAATTCAGAAGCGAACGAAAAAAGGAGAAAAAAAAAGCATTGAGAGGAACCAAATAGGCAAAATGGAGAATGAGGAGCCGCTCAGGTGAGGAGCGTACTCGGCGTCGGCCCGTCGTCGAATGATCGGCCGACCGCCGGAACCTTCGCGAATTTCGTTGATACGAAGGATTTACTCGATAAGAACATGTTAACGCGCGAAATTTAACTTTGTGGGCGATACTTCGAATTCAGCGGCCGCCGTGCCACAAGGAAGATGCGTATCGATCGACGCGATGGACTTTTTTGGGAAGAGGCGAGGGGGAAGAGGAAGGGTGTAGGGGGGGGGGAAGGGGAGGAGAGCTGCCAGCCCCTTTGGTGATAACGTCTAGTACGGTCTTTCACAAAAGGCCATAGAGCATGGATGACGACGTAAATGAATCCTGGAACGAAATCCTCAGGGATTCATCATAGCCATCGCTTCTAAATGAGGGCTAGTACAAATAGGCGATTCCACGTTTTAATAATGGTTTTGATTATTTCAAAGAAATATTTCAAGCCGAGCTAAAACTTAACGCTCGTTTTTTATCACCGCGCTTCAAATTTGAAATCCTTCTAGAAAATATGTAGATAATTCCAAGTTTTATCTATAGACTGTTGATTGCACAGACTGAACAAGCCTAACAGAAATGAGTGGTGAGCAAAAGCATGACTTCGAGTGGGAGTCGAACCCGCGTTCAATCCATACCGGTGAGGCGTGCTACCACCACACCATCAAAGTACACCCGTGCCACCATTCATTCTTCAATATCTCTATGATAGCTGTCAACAACCCACCTTTAGTAGATTTAGTAGGGTATGCTATTTCTATTTACAAACTCAGTTGAGCTGGCAGCCATTGTGATAAGTAATACCCGAGATTTCTAGTGTTTTTACTGCCTTTTTCGCAGTTGAGGTCGCTTTTCTGCCCAGCACTCAAATCTCTTGAGTATATATGAAGCATCATAACACTGCGAAAAAAGCAGGGTAGACACTAGAAACTTGAAGAATCTCAGCTCAATGAAAAAAATTTTGTTGACTAGATCAGATTACTTACAAAGTCGTTTTCTGCTAGATTTCCTCGACTTAGCGCCTATTTTTCTTTCTTGAAATCTCATTCGAATTTAGAAATACTCAATGGATCAATTTGAATACAGAGAGTCTAAATTGATGTACACTGAGGCAGAATCGAAGACCAGCTTTGATGACTTCCTTCACATCGTTTATGGCTGATTGCCTTTGCATCTCTAATCTTTGTGATATTCAATTTCTCAGGTGCGAGACCATTTCAGATGCCTCTTTATTGCGCTATTAGGAGTTCTTTCTACCTCGCTACCCAGAATAGAAATATTGGCCTCGGTATCAACTTGGGAATTTTGCTGAAGAAATGAACGGCGTGTCTAACATTAGACAACACCGAGAATACATCCGTGCCACTTTGAGATGGCAGGCCACTGGCTGTGGAAAGAGGGAGGGGGTGGCTACATGCATAGGTTGTAAGTGTGGGTTAAGACACCATTAACACAATTCCGCGTAAATATTTGATATTTTATTCTATTTTGACCGTACCTTGCATCTTCTGTTCAGCATCGCGACCAAAGCCACTCGTGCGTGTAGAGAATTACTTGGTCTCGCTCTATGGCCCGATTTGAGAGCAAGCTTTTCGGACTACAAACGAAGGTTGACTACTAAAATAGCCTCTGATTTCTAGTATAGCATGTGGAATTCACGTTATGGTACGTAATAACGAAACAGTGTGCGATGATCGTCTTCCATTCCGCATAGTTACGTGGAAGGGATAAGCTAAATCGATGTATATGTGTCGAAACTGGCTTTAGGACCTTTAAAATGCTGTCCTAGAAGTGTGGTCCTTGTGTGTAATAAGCTTGATCTGCGAGTGTTCATAACATGACGCGTACTTTGCAGCTACAAAATAGCTCCTGATATTAGACAATATATATGGAGATTAGCAGATCACGTTTCTGAGAAAGTTTTACAACGTTAGATACAAAGGTAGATAAGATATCGATTCAATGGCGATGTTACTTTCTCAGTTAGCTATATGCTTTCTGCAATTTCTGTACAGTAAGCAAACGAGTGATGCTTCTTGTAGAATTCACAGGGCACGTTCATCAAACAGCTCAGACAATAGTCCGAAAGCTGTGCTGCTTACTTGCTCAGACACGTTAACTGATAGAGTCGACGAACAGTCAGAGCTTAGTTCTATCAAATTCGTTTTAATATTAACTTCAAGTACTCGAAGTAGTTCTTGACTTGCCACATCAAAGAAAGTAGACCGTGTTTTTAGATCCTACATCAAGGCTTCTCTTGATGCTCTTGATTGCGAGATAGAATGACAAAGGCTACTAACAAGAAAAATTGAAAAACACTAGTTCTTCAACTAAGTTCTAGGTTGTATTACTAACGAAGTCATATTCCTTCAGAAAGACCGACATAGAAAATGTATAACTCTTGATTCTCCAAGGAATTTCATCACACTTATGCGTTTTCAGCTACTTCTTATAGTGTTTTCTATCTGCATTGCTGTAAGTTTTCCGAAAAAGACTTTATGTATCTGACAGTTCCTACCAGTTGAAACGCCTTACAGTCGGATGTCCTTGTTTTACTTTTTTTTCAAGCTAATCTCAAACTGGAACTTTATAGAGCCAGTTAGTTCTACGCAGTCAACATCTACTTTATTTCAATGAAGTATCATTAGTTGTAACATGTACAGTAAACCATCAGCAAAGTTTTCATATGTGAATGCTATTCTATAGCCCTCTCGATGTCCACTCGGTCGTACTTGACTTTTTCTAAATTACCTGAAAAATCTTGATCTATTTCTCTTCGTATCCATACTTTGTTAAAACAATTTAAAGCATTCCACTCAGTCAATATCTGTCGGCAGATCTATCAAGCGAAAGTGTGCGAAAAAGAAATTCCCAAATTACTGTTGTAATTTTATCAGCAACACTTTAGAGGTAAACTCACATTGGCATAAGTTATGATAACGACTATAATCATTTGAAAGCTCGTACTGTCATTTTGTGCACATTGTGCTCCTGATCAGTGCCACGTCCACGCTGAGCACAGTGGGCTAAAAGCTCGCCTTGGAGTACCTGCTTAAGACACAAAGATTTATTCTGCCATAATCCGCTCAGCTCTAAATGAGTTCTCAATTTAAGGCAGCCGTGTGACTTCCTGCACTATTGATGCTACTGGGTTGACATCTTCTCTGATGTCAGCATCGTATCATCACCTAAAAATTGATAAAGATGAAGAGGTGTTCAATTTAATTCTGTAAGTTGAGAGAAAATTGCTGCATTCTTGGTCCTGCTAGCAATGGAGTAAAGACAGTGTCATTAATTCCTTAAGGCGGACCGACTTTTACTGTGTTGACGTATTTTCGACCAAATTTCGCATCCTAAATCCTTTTCAACTCGTGACGGTTGTATACGTGATAGCTCAGATAATAGGTTAGTAAAAGAGTTTTGAGAAAATGCCTGAAAAACATTATTTTAACATAAGCAAGCTTAAATTATTTATGCTGCTATTACACCGGAACAAGGGCAAAACTAATTGTTAAAGTATTCCCCTTCAACTTCGAGCACTTCCTGTCACTTCTTCGGCAAAAGATTGATTCCGCAAAAAACGCTTCTAGTCTTCTTAACTTTATTCATCATCGTCAAACCTTTTGAACCACCTGTACACCGTACTTTGCTAACTGTATCTTCGCTCCAAGCCAAATTGATGCATTCATTTGCCACCGATTCATTTGAACCCAACAAAACGTGCATCATCAACAACCTGATTTGCTCCCTTGTTAACTACATCTTGAAATAAGTAGATAAATTATGTACTAATCAACTCGGGAGAAGACGGGCTTTCAAATAAGCCCAAAAGCAAAAAAATAGCCAGCACCCAAAAAAGTTACAAGCATTTTCTTAGAACCTTTTCCCCACTTATTACTTGGAATGTATCGTTCAACTGCGGTAGCGTCCAATCATAGCGTTGCATCACGGTCAGTGCTTTGGTATGCGGAAACTAGTATAGACTCGGCAAACTCATTTTTTTATGCCATCGGTGTATTGGTGGGTTCAATAATGAAAAAAGACTTGAAAAGAGGATAAAAAATTTGAAGAAGTAGTTAAGAAGAAATGACAGCTCTATTAGTAGCACTAAAGTGTTTATATGGTGCGTTATGTAAGGATTGCGATGATTCATACAAATTATCATGTGATTATTGTAAGCATCTATGAACTAAATGGTCCTAATTTTACTTGAGACCTTACCTGATTATTAGTCCGCTGAAGTTATCAGCCAGTTTCTGTTTGCCATTCAAACGGAGTGTCGATGAAAAGCGAACGCATTCTCTCAAGGCTTTGATCAGCATTGCTAATGTTACAAGGCTTTCCGCACAGTTTCGATATTCTCTCATCATATGCAAGATTGAAAAGTGACCACATCGAATGAGAATCAAAGAATCTGATAACATGTTTTGAGCCTTTTATGACGTCTGGTGTGGCACTTACACTGTGCTAAACAGCTGCTTCACCTTTACAACCTCATCACTAGCACGGTGTCTTTTGGTGCAGCTAATCCATTGGAGGGGAGACACCCACATATGAAGGAATCGATTCCGGATTATTTAAATAGCCGCATATAGACTGGCAAAATCTCCCGACATTGCAGTAACCACGGTCGGAGCGCTCGTGGCTGGTAGAATCAATCATACCCCCTGCAAGGAATCTGCAGAACAGAAAGGCACCGTGCTATGAGCATGTAAAGGCCAAACGGTTGTCTCATACTGTATAGTGCCATACCAGACCTCATAGAGGGTTTGAAATATTACATCAAACTGTCCGACTATTAATGTTTTTGAGGGAGGTGAGTGAGAGTAGCCATGCGGTCTGTTTCTACGCCACATTATTACGTTTGCCATCGACTCCTCTATGTAAGAATTATCTCGCTAGAGAGATTGGCTCACACGAAAGGCACCGTGCAACTGACGAGGTTGCAAGGCGGGATAATGTGTATTGTACTGTCTAAGTGCCCATAATACCATAACACCACATGCGTTTGGTGTCTATCTCTTCAGTGCCAAAACTTATGGATTGAGCTAATATTTATTATTCATTTACATGATATCTTTGTAGTTTATTCATTAGTAAGTCATTTGCGATACTATTTCTCCTCTAAGCCATAGATATACAGAATTCTTTTGAATGTGTTTAATTAACATGAAGCGACAAAAAGTTTTCGAAAAAACCACTTCACTTAGACAAAATAAGCCACAGATATTTTCTCAGTTTCATGTTCCATGAATTACTTGAAAATACCGTTGTGGTGGAGGATAAGTGGTTTTTGCTGTGTGGTCAATGGATATGTCTCAGGTCGATCGATATCTGGATATTGTTGGATTGTCATTAGCGGTGCACTGACCTTTGTGCTGTCACGCGTTGAACTTCCGGGTAGCGGAGGCTTTTGCCCTTTGAAGTGGCTCGTTGCACTTCCAAGCTGCTACGGGCTGAACTTCAGTCTGTGTGACCGCGTCTTCTGTCAACTTGTCTCTTGTAACCGACAAGAGCACAGAGTCCAAATCTTTTATATGGGTTACACCAAACAACCACTAATACACATATATCACAGTAATAATGACATAAGAACAATATATATATATATATATAATATATATATACGATTGCGGCATATCCTTATGTGAACATATGTCTGTAAGTGTGA